TACTACCATTGTATGAGACACCTCAGAGTGGATTATTACTAACAAAGAAGTGCACAATTTGCTTTGCAACATAATGCACCCACAGCACGCTAAAACTGCGCTCAGCGAACGGCACACTGAACTCGTATAAAGTTTATCTCATTGCATTGTGCTGCTTTTGAATGCAATTGCACAATTTTTCCCTGTGTGTGTGTGAGTGTGTGCGATCACCTGAGAGCTGTAAAGGAACCTGAGAGCGCTCTGGTGACCGAGGTCCTGACAGCGACGGGTGAATTATTAAGACACATCCACACATATGCACACACAAAGCCTAATGAGGTGGTTGACTGGGTGTACCAGATAAATTGTTCCACAGTGGTTTAGTTTCATACCGTTATACACGTGGAGGAGTGGAGGACTGGAGGAGGTGAAGAAAGAAGGGAAAAAGGAGAACAGTGTGCGAGCATGTCATGTGCTGGGACATTAGTTGTCCCTCAGCCAATCAGCGATGAACTCTTTATTGTCCATTGGTCCATATCAGCCAGTTATATTGCAGGTTTTTAAACAAAAAAGGTAGAGGGAGGGGGAAAAGAGGCTGATATTGAAATCTAATCTCTTTTTACGCAAAGTCAGGCGCTGAACATGCTGTGGGCTGTGCGTGTTTTTGTGTGTGTGTTTGCGGCTTTTCAAATGGACATAGCGATGCTACAGAAATAAATGGAGAGAAGGAGAAAGAGAGACCTTTACTCAAACTGGCCTACTTTCTCAGCAGCTTGTAATTAGTCTCACTTCATGCATTTATGCATCAGACAGTGGAGCTAAATCAGTGTTTTGTAATCAGGAAATCCCAGATGACACCACCGTCATCCTGTTCTCCTTTACTGTACTCTACACTGCCAATTTGACAACTTAAACTATAGTTGAATAATTTTGAATATCATTGTAAAAGCTGCTGTTTTCTGTCATGACACTGTATGCTATAAGGGCCTGAAATCAAATACAACACCTTCTCTGCCAACATGTCTTCTATAACTGTACACTGGATGCCTTTGGACTTGTGATCAGACAGAATTTGATCGCCTTACATTTATATGCAGTTTTACTGGCATATTTTCTCAGTTTTTGGAGACATTTGGAAAGATTTAAAGGTGATCTATATGCTGCTCTTTCTTCTTATTCTTGGACTGTTTATACCGAGTCTTGCTGCAGCCCTTTACTTCATCCCAACCAGTTTCAGCTCCTTTCTGAGGCCATCTCCCTTTTCAATGTACTTAGGCATGTAGACATGGTCCAGACAACCTGCAAGCTGAAGTTCAATCTAAGCATCAGAATAAGGAAGAAAGGTGATTTAAGTGACTTTTTGTTGCTATCAAACTGCAGATTTACAGGGATTTTCCCACACAACTATCTCCAGTGAACAGCAGTCGTAAATGCCTCGTAGATGTCAGAGGTCAGACAAGAAGGCCACAATAACCACTTGTTATAACCAAGAGCATCTCTGAATGCATTACAAATTGAAGCTTGAAGTACTGTAGATGGGCTACAGCAGCAGAAGACCACACTGTCTGCCACTCTTGTTAGCTAAGAACAGGAAATTGAGGTTACAGTTCACACCAGCTCACCAAAAAAGGGAAAAGCACGAGGTGGCAAGAGGGGTGTGTAATCCAGTACTAGCAACGTGTACCTAATAAAGTGGTCAGTGAACAGTAAATAGTAAATACAAGTCTTTCATATCATGAGTGTAGTAGGAATTATTTCTTACTTCACAAGTAAGATGACACAGTCAAACTCCTGCTTTCATTAACACCCAGACGCTCGCTTGTATTGATTTTTCTTTTAATCTTAGATGTCTAAGTATGATAATATGATTTAAAATGATTAAAAATCTGTGATCTCAAACACCAACATACATCCCTTTCTGATGTTAGTCACTCAGAATTTACTGCCGCTATTTTGTGCCGACGCTCTGCAGTCATACCGGGAGTATTTAAATATCTGCACCCACAGAAACGAAACCCGAACCAGAATACATTGCAATGAGTGTTTGCACAATTAAAAACTTCTCACTTTCTCTCACTGGGAAACTCTCACTTTCATACTTCACTGATGAGTCCAAGTGTAGGTAAAACCCTGCTGAACCCTGGCATTTTCTCTGGGGGGTGTCCAGAGGCATTTTGGGAAATGTAGTCAATCCAAGTGACGAAGGTTGGACAGATTTAGGGTAAGCAGATAAACTTTAAATGGTAAATTATGATGAAAATGATTAAAAAATGATTAATCGAATGAGAAAAACATTGCAAATTGATTATGTGTAATCCATATGAGGGTTTTTCCCCCTTAAAGCTCATTACAAAAGATCTACCACAAATGTCTGGGTTTTTAAAAATCATAATAATTGAACTATGCATTGATATTTACTTTTACAGCTTAATCTAACCTGTGTTTTTCATCAAAAGTTAATGCAAATCTGTAAGAACAAACTTCGTTAAACACTCTAGCTGGTATCGGTGTGCTGTTCCCAGGCTTTGTTTGCCCAGTCTGATATTATCACAGTGAAAACGCAGCGACAGCTGCTACTGTAGGTTTAGGGTGAGTGATTTGCATATCCATACAAAAGATAAAAACACTTCAGAAAATATCTGGGGATGAAAAAAAAATCCAATCTCAGCAGGTGAGACTAAACAGAAACCCCAGTGGGCTTAAAAAAATAAAACAATGGAAAAACATCACATCCAAAGAAAAAAGTGACAAAAGAAAAGCGAAAATCAAGATGACAAACAGATGACATGAGTGATCTGAAGCTCTAAGACAGAATGTCGTGTGTTTTTATTTGCTTATTGCTGGATTCATTGTGGGGTTTGATATGGCAGTGTCAAATGTTCCCAATCCTCTAAGATGGCAGCAGAGACTTCAGCTACTGAAGACGTGTTTTTAGGAATTTATGATTACAAACCACAGGATCAGCATGTCACCTCTGCTGTTCTGAAGATATTACAGAAGCATTGCTGCTGTGTGTTTTTAGCTGACACCCATTTCAATTCTACGCTGATATTCATGCGCCGAGAGTGTCTTATAACTTTCTCACCTTCAAAAACGACTGAAAATGTGAGACGTCCTCAAACCTGAACAGTTTTCAATTGTCAGTAACTGCTGAAATAACACAAATGCACTTTTGTTTCCCACGCACTCACTGGGCAGGCTTGCCAATTATGGTAAACGACACCTTAGTATATTTAATGAGTTGTTTCTCATTTTTATTAATTTATAAGTGCGCAGACCCTTTGCTCTCTTTGCTCAGTGATATTAAGAAATATAGGACAGAAACCTCCTTAGAACTAGGAAAAAATCAGTCATTGCCGATTCCCTTGAATCTTTGGATTGCATATAGATCGCAAGGCAGTTGCACAGGGTGCCTTGTGTAACTCAGATGGACTGCAGTCAGTCTTGTGGGCAAGAGTTTTTGAAAATAACTGCTGTCTAGTTTCTAAATGCAGAAGAACTGTTAACACGCAGGAGTCAGACTGAGTCAGTCTGTGCCGATGAGTCTGGTCTGTGATGGCTCTCTTTGGAATTGGACACTTGACTCAGTTGGTTGCCAACTAGTTGTATTTTGGTTATGATCCTATACCAAAGCAAGGCTGCCGAGTGTTTTGAGGGTGAGACGGCCAGAAAGTAATAATTCCCTGCAACACTGAACTTTCATCAAGGAGAGTGGGGCTTGTGATTCATGTGGGGCCACTGTTTCTGAAGATTAAGATTAAGATTAAAATTAAGATTAAGATTAAGCTCCAGTTTCCTGTTACAGTCCAAAGACATGGTTGTTAGGTTAACTGGTGTTTCTAAATTGGCGGTAGGTGTGGTGTCGGTCTCCTGGGATAAACTTCTCCCCACCTCAGTCGGGGATTTAATCTGGTTCAGTACAACGCTGCTGCTGGATGAAAGACCTGGTTGACAACACGCATTCCAGTTCATCCCAAAAGTGTTTTATGGCCTTGATGTCAGCCAAGTGTTTTCACACCAAACTTGAAAACCATTTCCTCTTGAACCTGGCTTCATGTCTGGAGCCATTGTAATGCTGAAACAGGAAAGGGCCTTCCCCAAACTGTTGCCACAAAGTTAATCCATCTAAACTAAAAATCTTATTTGCTGTAGGGAAATTATTTTCATTGGATGTTTGTTAGGCGACCAACTGAAGGTTACCAAGTACTCTTCAGCAATACTCCAATTAAAACAGCAATTTATCATTTTTACACATCAGTTTAAAAGGCATGAAATAGACTCAGTGTAACTGCTTTAATTGGTGAGCTGTAGATTGTAAGGGAAATCTTATTATTTCTACTCTTTTTTTCTCACCACTTGGCAGTCATCTTTGAAAAAACCCCAGGGCAGTTTTTTGTGGACCAAGAAGCCGTTCAGAAAGGAAAAGCTGCATATATAAAATTGCCAAATCTAATGAAAAAAAAAGAGAGAGTAATATTGCTTTAACTGCTCTAACGCAGATGACCGGCCTTTTAGGACAAGTGTGATACAAATGCCGTTTTTAGTATTTCTAAGGCCCCCCCATAGATTTTGATTATTTATAAGATGTCTGGTTTTGCTGGGTGTAGCCTAATCGACAAAGATGAACAAAAATATTGACTGTCATGTCTAACTCTCTGCCAAAAAGGAAATTTGCAAGCTTTTTGAAGATGCTCCTGTTTTGAACTACAGGACAAGCAGCACTAAACCAAAATTATGCAAATACTGCGGGTCACATCTTGATGATAATGTGGCTTTGGGCAGTGGGTGGGTTAAACATCCCCCAGCCATGTTCATCTCATCGGTCCAGTGGGGGGCTTTTTTCACAACCGTACTGCGATACAGACTGCATGGGCATTTGGCAATATGTCAGAAATCAGCATGACTCCAGTGCAGGAGGCAGCCATTTGTATGCATGTAGCACACAGAGTGTGTTTAAAACTGGCAGTTTTGCATAAGAGTGCCATCATGCTCTAATTCTGTCATCTGTCTTTCTCCTCTAGGGGCAATTTGTGGACTTGATAAACTGGACCAGAAAGCAAACGGTTGCACCAGGTAGGATCCACAAACCTAATAACCACTCTGTACTTGTATGTCGTGACTATGTCGTTAAGTCTGGCGTCACTAGCCGTGTCTGGTCCTAAACTCCGCTGCAGGTCCATATATCAAACGATCACTATGGCATTACTGAGAGTTGAAAAACTGTCTTAAGTCTTTCATCTTTAATAAAATGATCAGCGTTCTGCTCTACCAGGTGTAACAATTGAGTTTAACATCCAGGCATCCATGAAAACGGAATTTATGACATTTAACGGAGTTAGAAGTTAGCAGGAAGTTAGCTCGCCAGCTGACTGTTCTGACTGCGGGGTTTTGGAAACAAATTAAAACGCACAGCTCTGTTATGACTTCCAACATAAATGAAGACAGAAAACTAAACAGCAGTGATGTTTGTAGGGTTACTGGAGTTTGGCTAGCTGGTATATAATGATGTGCTACGTGACCACTAGCGACACAGCTATGTTAGCACAATATAAACAAGCTAACTTTTTTTCCACTCGATAAAAGTTAACCTGAGTGTTCTCGGTGGTCAGGAACAAATGTAATCGCATGGCAGCATGCTGTAAAAGGACCAAACTTCAGCCAGGAGAACACTGAGATAATCCATCCACAATACGAGGTTAGTCATTCATATACTGCTGCATGGGCTGGGCTGTAGTTACATCCTAAGGTTTTAAAAACTGAGCTTAAATAAATGATTAGCGGTAATAAAAGCCGAGGGAGGTCAACAGTGATCACTGATTGTTTTAGGAGCTGTTTGAGATTAAATAGAAGAAAATACAAAACATTAAACATGTTAACAACACAAAAGCCATATTAAACGCAGACTACTTTAGGCCCGGAAGTAGGATTCGTCACGTCATCACTTAACGACCGGATAGTGTAAAATAATATATGACATCCAGTCATTGCGCACAAAATAGTAAGAGTAATTTATGAGCTAGTTTAGGTAAAACATTTCGGGTGCAATGAATAGAGGTCAAATTTGACAAGTCAGTGATTATCTATGAAGATATTTAAAACTCAGTAATATAAAATTAATTTATAGCTCAGGTGACATTTTGCCCTTTAAGCCAGCTTCTAGTGACTGGTTGCCTATTGCAATATCAAAAGTAGTAGCAGTCACCACAACATGCTTTATATTCTACGGTAAGAACCCTATAATAATATAGAGAAAACCCAACAATTACACAACCTCTTATGAGCAAAGACTTGGCAAGAGCGGAAAGGAAAAACTTCCCAATAAGAAGATAGTCAGAGATGTCCATATAAGGACATCCTCTCTTTGTCATTAAATCACTCAGTATAAAAGGAGCATTTCGACCAGTCTGAAGCCAAAACTTCTGCCACATGGATTATTTGAACTTACACTGACCTCATTATTTGAAACTTTGGCCATGTTTAATATGAGCATCCACAACTTTAACAGACTCTATATGGCAGATAATAAGGAAAAGTACAGTAGGTCACTTTAATAAAAAAAAAAAAAAAGTCAAGAAAACTGTTTAAAAATGCAGTTTGTGTAGAAAAAATGTTGAAAATATTTCAACTATCTGTGCAAGAGTAGAGTTTTCATTTAAGAAGTCGTGCTTCTCTGCACCGTCTTTTAAAATGGCTGATTCTTCTGTGATGAGCGAGAGAGGGAGGCTCATAAAGAAAAAACAGACCGTAAGACAAGGAGCCATTTGAGCTGTTTTCATTTAACCAGAATTACTCTCAACTGTTTCCTCCCGGCTGGTTGCCGGGGAAACTGGCCAGCTTCGTTATTGGAGGTGCGACCTCAGCTGGGAGTGCAAATGATAGAGCTCACTTTAACGTTCCCGCTGCCTGCAATCACATTTCTGTGACTCTCTTTCATTAACATGCTTTGTACTGTTTGGTAAATGATCTAATTTTCCTCCTCGCACGCACAATAATCAGGTTGAGCTTTTGTTTGCCAAGACCAAAGTTTTGCGAGCTGAGCTGATTATGGAGCGTAAAGGCAGAAGCAGACGCTGTGTTAGGACCCAAATCCAACGGAAATCTAACGGAAATGTATACCCATCTCTTCTAACTCTGCTTTCACAATGATGGCCAATCTGCCTGAAAAATGAAATAAAATAAAATTTGGGGTAATAAAAGCAAACATGCCTGGCAGCAGTGGTTTGTATCATAGCAAGAAGTGCAGAATTGCCAGACATTATATGCATGTCACTGATTCTCAGATATTGTCATCTCAAACTGGAATTACTGCCCTGAGGTTTTATACCTTTACCAAACAAGTCAAGTTACAGCTTATCTTCATGTCTCTGTTTGAGCTTCTGAGTTCATGATGACATCATCTCATCGCATTTTACTGGAACTGTCACTAACAGACATCAACTGACAGAAGGTGTGGCTTTTTCTGTTGATATACAAAAAAACCCCCCCAAAAAAACAAATGAGGCTTATGTAAAAACAACAACAACATATATATATACATATATATATATATACATATATATATATATATTTAAATATGTATGTGTGTGTGTGTGTACCAGAAAATTGTTCATGCCAGTTGTTGAGGACAAATATACTTTTTCTAAGACTAAACACAAGAAAGTAATGTATGTCTTTTGAATGGCTTCTTATACAGTTTAATGCCGTAACGTTTTGCAAGGATCTTGAGAATTAATTGTTGTACAGAATTAAACAAATCATTACTACTCAATAAATATAATCACATATTTTGAATGCAAGAGAAAAAACCTTTGGCATTAATTTTATCCTTCTTGTTTAATTTTGAAAATGTCATATTTGCAAAGCCAAACAATTCTCAATATTACACAATTTTTCAATAGTTTTCAGCTGACAGTAATTATCACTTTAAGTCTCCTAAATTCAAAGTAAAGAAAAAAAATAAGTCAGCACACGTGTTGTTAAGATAATAATAATAATAATAGCAGTCTTGCCCACTCAGCAACCATCCTGGAAACGAGTTAAAGGCCCAGCTAGATTAAGAGCACAGTCGTTAAATTATCAGGTTTTATCGACGTGGTCAATGTTTCTGGTTCATCCCACCATTGTGCTGAATAGATGGTGTTGTGAACACCAAATAAGAGGAAAATTAGGTGCTCTATAAGTTTACTATGATAACGAGTAATTATGCTCCCCTGGCAATATATTTCCTGAAGCAGCTAAAGCAGATGACTGGCTGTTTAGGTGAAGCAGTGGGACAACAACCATCATGCTAATGTCTCCGGTAATTCAGTGTTATTGGAAACTGTCAGATCGTTCGTTCACGTTACTCATTTCTTTTCAATTGGGGATAATTTATCCAAAATTCAGGAGCAAGATCTCGTAAACCCCTCTTCCACTCGTATGTCTATAAATGCCTTCCTGCTTCGTGTGCCTGTTTATTGTCGTCATTGGTACCACAGGGATCTGCCTGGCTTGGGAAGCACCACTGATCCTCTGCGACGCCTTCCCCAAACCTCAGTGTAAGGCTTTAACTGAGGCCTAAAATCCATCTACCATTCCCTATCAGTAAGCATTGTATAACCCGTTTGAGGTTGTGGTCCTTGCCAATGATCTTTTATTTTATCAGGAAGTCAAACCAGAACATGCTAACAAAAGAGATTCTTAATCTGTCTTGTAAGACGCTGACGTAGGAAGCATAAACTTATAAACTTAGCATGTTGGGGTTTTTTAAAGAAGGGAAAGTACAAGTACTACACATAACTTCCCAATGCTGAACATGACACATTAGTTTTCTGCTAGTTGATGCCACGATCACAAAGAAACATGATGCTGAGTTTTTAAAAATCTTAAAGCGAGTGCGTAATCTTATGATTTTCTCTTAATCAAATAGAAATCTTGACATAATTTTTTATGCGATATTCTTGGCTTACCCTCTAAATAACATCCTCCACGGCCTCATATAGTGCAAGAAACTAGAAAAACACAGATGAACAATGCATTCATTCCCTCAACGCACTACTACTGTGTGAAAAAAAAAAGATGATGTGCTTTGTAGCATCAAAAGACTGAATGCAGATCTTATTCCCGACCTTGTACAGCTGCTTTGTATTAAAATTAATATGCAAGTCAGGTCGAAAATGATTTTTTTTGTGGGCCATTAATGTTTTAATGTAGTTGATATAAGCCCCTTTTCCAGTAATAATGGGAAGGTTAATGGTCAAGACACAGAAAACAGTCATAAGCACTAGCATCCCCTGACAATGATCACCAAGGACAAATGTTTTGCATTTGAGTTCAAAGCAGCGGAGTAGTAGAGTAAAGGAGCTGTGCAAGAATAGTGCTTGTGCTGGAAGAAAAATACTGATGCAGCAGTGACTATAAACAGATGGAGGATAATTCATGAAGGAGGACTCGTGAAGTGACTGCTGCGGTGAAGATTACACTAAAAATGATGGATGGAAGAAGTGTGTGGCTGAAGATTAGGGACTGGGCTTTTGCGTTCTTTGCTTTTCAAATGTGTGTTGGTTGCAAATATGATGGATAGCAGAAGAAACTGTGTGTGTGTGTGTGTGTGTGTGTGTGTGTGTGTGTGTGTGTGTGTGTGTGTGTGTGTGTGTGTGTTTGTGTGAGAGAGAGAGAGTCAGCGGTGTCACTTCCTCTTCCTGTGAAACAGGCGGCTTGGTATCAAGGATGAGATGAACTATGTAATCCAAAAATCCTCCGTCTTTCTCTTTTCTATCTCCCGCTGGCTCTCACATCATGCTTTCTTCTATAACTGTATGTGTTGTCACCCACGAGTCTTTGTTTCTGTGTGTGTGTGTGTGTGTGTGTGTGTGTGGTTGAGGCGGACCGTGCACAGAAATAGATCATGTAAAGCAGAGATTACTATCTGCACCTCAAAGCATAAACGTGTGGGTCTTTAAACTTCACACTGTGTCATTTCTGCACACACCAGGTTACACACTCATGCACACAAACACAGAGCAGAAGACATGCACAGGATGTGCGTCAGTGCTTGCACAGGGTGCACTCAAAAATGCATATGATGTCTGCAT